CTCGGCTACGCCTTCTTCGACTTCTACGAGTCGGCCCGCCAGGTGGGCGGCGACTACTACGACTACGTGAACCTCCCCGGCGGCCGCTTCGCGGTGGTGCTGGGCGACGTCGCCGGCAAGGGCGTCGCCGCGGCAATCGTCATGGCGAAGCTCTCCAGCGACGTGCGGTTCGCCCTGGCGACCGAGCCTGACCTCGCCAGCGCCGTGAAGTACGTCAACCGGGCGTTCTGCGCGCAGGGCCTCGAAGACCGTTTCGTGACGATGATCTACACCGTCGTCGATCCCGCCACTAATGAAGTCACGCTCGTCAACGCGGGCCACATGGCGCCTTATCTGCGCCGGGTGAGCGGCGAGGTCCTCGACGTCCACGAAGAGATCACCGGCCTGCCGATCGGCGTGATGGACGACTACGACTACGAGCTGGCGAAGATCACGCTCGAGCCGGGCGAGTCGCTCACGCTCTTCACCGACGGCTTCAACGAGGCCATGAACGCCACGCGCGACCTCTACGGCCTCGAGCGTATCGCCGCGCAGGTAAGGCTCCCGGCAAAGACGATCGCGGACCTCGGCAACAACGTGATCACCGATGTCCGCAAGTTCGTCAACGGCTTCGACCAGTCGGACGACATGTGTCTGTGCGTCTTCGGGCGCGACGCGGATTAGCGTTGGGCTTCGCGCAGAGACGCGGAGACGCGGAGAAGACTTACGCAAAGACGCCAAGGCGCGAAGGAAGGACGCTAAGGGTTGTTCGTATCCGAACCGCGACCGTTAGGGAGCGACCAGAGCGATTCGCAATTAGTAGGTCAGGCTGTGCCTGACGGCCCACCATTCGCGTCATCTAAGTCCTGCATTGAGTCGGCAAGTATGGTCTACGTCGTAGCTTTGGATGGTAACAGCGGCAGGGTAGTTGATGCGAAGGTGCTGAATATTGAGGATTTGCTAGACTTTCCGTTGACGCTACCTAATCCTCTCTCGGGACAACTTCCAACGCCGTTAGTCAAGTTAAGCAGCCGAGGTTTCCCTGCGGATTACATAAGCGTTGGCAGCATCGATATTGTATCTGCAAGGTTAAAAGATACGCTGCTCGGCCATGACTCAAAGTTCGAGTTCCTGCCTATTCAACTTTATGACGGAAAGGGGCGACCTTACCGCAGCGAGCCTTATTTCTTCGCACACCTCTTGATAGAGGTTGATTGCATAGACCGAGCTCACTCTAAGCTCGTAGTAGCCGAAGATGGCTACGTTGAGGACATCATAAAACTCACACTTTCCGATGAAGCGGCATCAGCAGAGCCGGTGTTCTGGCTCGGTAACACGAGTTGTCTGCCACGATGGTTCGTCTGCGACAATCTTGCCAATGAGATCATACAAGGCGGCTTTACTGGCATTAAATTTGATACGATAGACGAAGCTGTTGCCCGTCGTAGTTAAGTAGGTCAGGCTGTGCCTGACGCCCCACCAATTCGATTGCGGCCCCCGCGTCAGGCACGGCCTGACCTACTAATCACGCCGTCTTGGTCGCTCCCTGACGGTTGCGGTTCGGCTGCCGGATTCGCTTCGCGACTTCGTTCGCGCCTTGGCGTCTTTGCGTGAGACTTCTCAACGAATGGCGTGGCCAAAAGCCAGCGAAATGCCGGCAGAAACCCGGGAAAACCGGCCACCTCGCCTGGACCCCATAGAGGGCCCTCTGACGCGTTCGCACCTGGGGTGCGGCTAAACCCTTAGGAGCGCGCAAGAAGCGATTCTAGGGCCTCCTGAGGCCCTTCAACGCGATGCTGTGGGCCGGCGCCGCCCACAGGCGAGCCGACTCCTAGTTCGCTTCGCGTCGTCCTTAGCGGCTTGGCGTCTTTGCGTGAGACTTCTCAGCGTCTCCGCGTCGCAGCGCGAGACTTCAGCGACATGAGCAACATCGACGCGACGAGCGTCGCGTTCGTCGGTTCGGGGATCGCCAGCAGGGCGAGGCTGCCGTACGGGTTGTATGCCACCGTGTCGATGAACACGTCGAACGTGGTGTTGGCCGTGCTCGCGCCCGGGAAGAGCATGATCGAGTCGATGTAGGCGCCGGGGCCGTTGATCGTGCCGTTGCCGCCGGCGAAGTTGTTCCACTGGGCCGCGTCGCTGAGGTCCCACTCGTAGAGGTGCCACTCGCCGTCGGCGATAACGGGGATCGAGGTGGCGACTTCCATCCCGGTCGTGCCGGCGGCGATGCCGTCATCGATGCCGATCGAAGCCAAGAGGTCGGGCTCGGTCGTCTTCAAGAAATAGCCGACGAAACCTTCACGGCCCATGGCGTACTGCTCGCCGCCGACCTCGTCACGGTTGTTGAGGGGATTGCCGCCGCCGGAGATGTGACGGACACGGGCGCCGCTGGTGGTCCCGTCACGAACGACCGTTAGCTTCTGGCTGCCGTCACCCATCTGGGCGTCGCCGGTGACGCGGTCGGCGGTGCTGGCGGCCGTGATTCCGCGGGTGGTGCCGCTGAACGTCGGCGCCTGATTGAAGCGGCCCTCGCCCGACTCGAAATCGTCGAAGATCGTCAGGTCGGCGATCAGCGGATCGATGTTCGCCAGCGGCGGGCGCGGCGGGGACGCCAGCGGCACGTAAGCCGGATTCGGGATCGCCGCGACGCCGAAGTGGTTGGCGACCAAGCGCTCGCCGCCGGGGCGCTGGGGCGTGGCGTTGTCGCTGGGGCTGTTGACGACGCGCGACGCGCCGCCAATGCCGTCGGCGAAGACGAGGGTCGAGCTGCCGCCGCCGTCGAGGTTGATCGCGTTATCGACGCCGAAGTCGATGAACAGGTCGGCCATTTCGTCGGTCCGCATGCCGCCCGAGAAGTCGCCCTGCCGGCCGTCAACCAGCATGAAGAAGACGTTCCCTGTTTCCGCATCGACACCGACAGCCGTATGCGGATTGAGCGTCGTCGTGTAGCTGCCCGAAGGGGTGACGTTGAGACCGTTGTTCACGAGCCGCTGATTGCCGCTGACGGCGTTCCACGCGCCGGCGGGGATGGTCGAGCTGGTAATGATCGACGCGGTCTGATCGGCGAAGGTCACGAGTGAGTTGCCGCTGCCGCCAGGGCCCGAGACGATGTCCCCGTTGCTGACGCCCAAACCATTGACATTGGCGGTGATGCCCGTGTTGGTTGTGAAGAAGTCGCCGTTGATGCCAACGGCCAAATCGTTGTTGGCGACAAACGTGCTCGTCGTGGTGCGTGTGTACTCGTTACTCGTCGCGCCGTTACCGGGCGTCCCGAGGAACTCGATCCCGGGCGCCGAGGCATCGATCTCCACCAAGTGGATGGCGACCTCCCGAGGGAAGGGCGCCGACGCCGGGGCGTTGTAGGGCTGGTAGATCTGGTAGTGCGTGATCCCGTA